TGAAAAGAATAAAGTTAAATCGACTTTGTTGTATTAAGAATAATGGTGGAGCATTTGAGAGATAATATGCCAAGCTAATAATCCAGTGGCTTCAATAAAACGTGCCCCCTTTCCCTTAGCTGCACTTTACGGATTCTGCTTTATTGTGGAATGTTTGTTACAGCAGATGGGTTACTGAAATACAGACTGCCAGTTTTGTTCTAATTTTGCCGAGTAAACTCAACAAAGAAAATGGCTGTGTATTCAAATACTGTTCTTCGCTTAATTTGGATTAGAATTAAACTTTGCAGTGATGCATTCGTGTTAACTTCTATAAGGTTAACTACGCCGGCCAAATTGCCTAGCATTTTGGGGCAATGGAATGTTACTTCTAATGTAGCGGCTTATCGAAGTATCAGTGCAACACATTGGAATTAGAGCCTCTGTAGACAAGATGTATAGGGCTACAGGGAACTTCTATTTTAGATGTCCTAACAATTTTACCTTTATTGACAATGGTACGTCAACGCTTACAACGTGAAAAGATTAACGCAGCAATAAAAATTTCAAAGTCCTCCGTCCATTGCTGAGTCTCGTCAAACACGTCGCGACTTATAATTCGCTGCCAAGCATAAACTATCTGTGATTTGGCCCTGCCGAGTTAGAACACCCAGTAGATGTTCTCTAACAACATTAGCACTATGATTAAGCTAACCGTGACAACCAATGGTTAGTGCAAAAATAAATCAAGAAATGTAAATAAAAATACACGTATGACAGTATCAATCACCTACGCTGGCAATGACCATGAAATACTTTGTCAAAATATTTATAATATTTTACTAATTTTAATAAGGCAACTCACACAGCCTAAGTGCAGCTGTGGCTACACACAATTAACCCTTAGTATTAATAATACGAAATGTGCGGTTATACGCCATAATATATCCTAGATACAAGAATAGCCATTGGGAAGAAAGGGAATTTTCTTAACCCCAATGAACAATTAACAAAACACGCGGTTTCGCCTGAATGGTGGAACTCAGCGTTTGCTATAGACATATTGTTAAAAGTCTGCACTGACAAGCGCGTTAGATACGCTGGTAGATGACGTGGTCTGCATGCTGGGAAGTTGGATCGGTAACTCTTCCGTGGATTTCGGACCATATCGACCAGTCCACGTTTTCGTCATTTTCACTATTTTCTAGTGACGATAATGTATCAAGCACAAGCAAAGCCGGACCCATTGGCAATTAGTGGCCAGAGTTCGGAACTCTTTATCGGACCCCATACAAGTGGAGTGTGGTGTTCCGCAAGGCTCGGTTCTAGGTCCACGTTTGTTTTTGGTGTTTATTAATGACCTCGCACAGGAAACTGCTTCAAAACTTCCTAATGTTTGCCGACGATTTCAAGATCTGGCACAGGATCCAGGTGAACACCGACCAACATGTGTTTCAGAGTGATTTAGATCCGGTGTATCAATGGTCGACCCAAAACCTATTGCATTTCAACGTCAGTAAATGCAAGGTGCTTTCCATCCGACATCAAACCAGCTACTCATACCGACTCGGAACGGATGTACTGCAACAATCAACTCTTGAACGGGACTTGGGTGTCCTGGTTCAAGATAACTTGAGTTGCTCCAGGCAATCCGAAAAGGCCTCGAAGACCGGGAACCAACACGTTGGGCTGTTGAGGCGGGCGTTTGGACAAATAAACAGCTCCATATTTCGACAAATGCTCAGTGCGTATGTTCGCCCCCCACGTCGAATATGCAATTCAAGCCTGGCATCCATGGCTGAAACACGACCTTAATGCACTGGAGCAGCCACAACGCCGGGCATCTAAGAAAGTAATTGGAATGCGCAATCTTTCCTACCAGGAGAGGCTGTAACGACTGGGATTGTTCAGTGGAAGCTATCGCAGACTACGAGGCGACCTGATTATGACATTCTTGATCTTGCGAGACCCACATCATGTGTGCCGCCCTTTACTGCAACTCAGCAGCAATACAAACCTGAAGGGCCACTCATTAAAACTCGCAGAACAATACAGTCGTCTGGAGTGCCGCAGAAATTTCTTTTCCATCCGTGTCTGTCACCCGTAGAATGCTCTCCCAGAATCGGTCGTCTCTGCAACGACACTAACAGTATTTAAAATACGGTTGGACGAAGCACTCATCCACTTACACTTTGTTACTTAACACTACGTCTCCATCCTACACCTGGAGTTTACCATGGAATTATTTGTTGTTAACTGTGGATGCTGTGAATCTAAGAGGATCGCAGGACTGCAGCGAAGCAAACGATAAGTCCTTATTTTCTTATTTAAAGTATTAACTATTTTACTATCCTTATCATCATTGCTGTTATGTTGATATCCCCTGCAAATATCCAACGGGACTTGTAAAACAACGCTCCTTAACCCGTATAAATTCCTTGTTCATTGTTCATAATCATTCTCATGGCCATACCCATTAATTGAATTTACTTAAAGGAACGTTTAAAACTGTTAAACAGACTTGAAGCACATTGCAAGGCTAATAACTAGTTGCTTATTATCAGTGCGTATGCCCCAAACGACACTCCATTTAATGAGAATAATTACACATTTCCTATGAAAATTAACATTCTGCCACATGGTTCCACCAAATGATGTGGACAGGAGGGTTAAGTTGCAACCTAAGCGTTTAGGAAGATCAGTAAAGTGGGTCCTTCTATACTTATCCATAACTACTGAAACTTGGCGATATTTTTTGTTAAACATATTTAAGCGTACTAATTATAGACGTGCTACCTAAGGTTCTTGCTTATATAACCACTGTTGGACACATGGATTGTGAGTGATGCTATTTTTGTGTGCTTTACTTCTGTTCATAGATTAGCGCATATTTTCATTAAATGAATGCTAATGAAATTCACAGCAAAAGTCTCATTTTGACGTTACTCAAGAAGTAACTGCAAATTCCGAGTAGACGTGCCTAATGGGATACATTTATTTTGAACTATGATGTTTACGGCGTTAGGAGAAATAAGCGTTGGATGTACATCTGTGAGACATGACCAACTCGGTTTGAAAATCTTAGCCTATGCCAACAATTAGTCCGAGTCGGCTGCAGGGCTTCTCTGGTTTTAGATTGCACATTCAATTGGGCAAGTATAAGCTGAACATACAATTACTAGGCTGCACTGAGTGGATCAAATCATTGCACCAACAGCTACCAAGGAATAATTTGTGAGTAGTTGTCGAGGGCCTCGCCGGCACTTTTAGGCGATTTTTCTCATCAGGTCGTTGCTAATACGGAGGCTTCGTTTCACAGTATCTAGGATAAAGTTGACATTCTTCCGACTCCGCCTGTGCGTGTTCATACCTGCTGTTTTGTGCTTAGGCCAAACGTGAAGTTGAAGAACCAGCATAAACTTTATTGGTCATAAGTTGTAGCACTAATACCACTATCATAATTGCTCTGTATGAATAAAGAGACAGTTGGGCTTAGGGCTGCAATTTCTAAAAAAAGCCGCTACAAATCAACGAGATATATATGCCGTTGGTTTAGACACCTACATTTCAGGCTTCTAGTTTTGGTGTGCTTTGGATATGTTCACTGTTACGATGCCAGCGCTCGAAAGCTAATGCACAGGGCCCTTCTGATGTGTGGCAGGAAGTCTGATTGCCAACTAACTGCTACAAACGTTGCATACGAGCACTGAATATGCTACAGACGCATGAAATCAGCTCTACATGCCCTTCACTAAAGATCACAGTGGTGTTTTGCCATATTTCGGCAAAAATAAGTTTCGGTGAAGGTCACTACTGATATTTTGATGCAAAATCGAGGAACTGACTGCCAAACGGCAAACTACTGGTGCATTTATCCTTTTGGGATGGATTCCATGATGATAGTTTCTGATGGTCCCCCATCCACGTTAGAAAAAGTTTACTCTTACGGTCTATGTAAGGTGTGTCTACTGCTGGGTTATCGCTAGGGTGAAGCTGTCTGAAGCCGGTCAGCAGTTAGGAAATCGAATCTGCGCGGCCGAATCCGTTTTATGTACATAAAGAGCTATCGACTTAAGATAATGTGGGGCATAAAGGCATAATCGTCTCTGAAAGGAATGTTTGACAATGAAATTTCCCCCACCTGCTCCTTATAAAATTGCTTTGTTTTACGCTACAAATATACCCAATTATGTACAGAATCAAGATATAGAGCTACTGCAATTCACATGATAATGATTATGTTACTTGATGTACTGAACAACAAAGTATATATCGCTGAATGTTAATAATATTTAGATTTGCAGTTGATTTCATTGCATGATTTTACAAAATAATCAGTTATGGTAGGTGGCAAACGCCACGGCATGGGGACAAAGTTTATGGCTTCTTTGATAATATTATTTTTATTCAGTCGTTCGCTAGTACTGCAGTTTGACAAATTTATCTTTAGAATCGGAATTATTTTCTCAAGCGAAGACAGGTGTATAAGCTCCGAACAAATAAATCAGGTGTCGCTTTGTTTTCTCCTTCTCAAGATCCTTTTCAAGATCCAGCAACTCTGAATACAAATGACGCTGCTTAGTGCGTAATTCTGTATAGAGTATTAAATAGGGCAGCGTTGTATTTACATTTGAATAAATTTGTTTCTTTTATATGACACTTTAAAGACGAGTTTGAAGGTTTTCAAATGTTTCCACTGAATAACAAATAACACCCTTTGTATAAGCTAAAATCAGTACCCTGTTTATGAAATAAGACTAAATCAATTGTCGCCTCCCATCAGCGGTAGTGAAATTGCGTGCAATCACTGGTAGTAATCTAATCTAAGCATTGAAGTATACCTTGTTCTTTTTCCGCTTCTACTTTGTGGCCGCATATTTGTCAAGCCATTTTAGTAGAACAGAAGCGTACACTTTTGCATAACTTTGGCAGCATACTGTTATTTGAATGTAAATATCTATTGACACCATGCACTCAAGCAAATTTGAGAGTTATGTAATCATAACATGAGATTTACTGACCTGGAATCAACAGAAATGTTTTGAAATTTCCATCCACTTTCCTTAAAGGAACTCGGCTCTGTTTGAGCTAAATTAAATTCTGCCTTTCTTTTCTTCTTCCATTTATGATATAGCAGCTTTGAGTTGAAGTTAAAACAGATTAAGGCAAAAATCCCCACCAAGAATCCGTACTGAACACAGATATTTGGTGTGAGCATTTTAAAGATGTTCATGATTTGTTTGTGGAAGAAAATATTCCGAACAAGTCTCAAATATGCATAACCATGAGCTTAAACAGCAGCGTGTTGTTTCAACGGAGAATCACTCGGGACATCACACAGTGCACGCGAATTCCATTACATTTAATTTATGAATGTCCCGAATTTTCCAACCAGCTGTATCCCCGCAGTTAGAATATTGGCCGTGCCAGTTTTGCCAACACGCTGTGCAAAACCAAAATCAAAATTATCTACTTCAACTGCTGAGTAATCTATGCTTGGTACACTGCCTTGTATCATCTAGTCAGTTAAAGACAGGGGTATGTACGCACGTCACCCTGCATGACTGTCGAATCCGGGTAGCTCGACTGATTGGTAGACAGAGCAGTTGGAGCTGCCAACTGCTACATTCATTGGTTCGCACTAGAGCGAAATGATGCTCCACTGGTCGATACATTGGAAGGTCCATTGTACCACAAGGTCATCTAAACAACAAAAACTGTATCAAGCGAGTTTATCTTAATCGTTATACGACCAAAGAGTTAACTGTTTTGAGTTATATTCCATTCAAATAAATGAATGACGCGGTAACAAATCATTCGTTAACAAATGGCAAAAAGCGAAGTAAAATACATATTACACATTTCGTGATGATTTATCGGCTTTGTCCCGAGGTGCTAAATCAGAAATTGCCGCGTATACGACAAAGCAGTTTGCAAAAATACGGATGGAATATCCTGTACTAATTACCAATTTTGATTTCATTGCTATACTAATGCAGCTTCCAGATAGTTAAACAAGACAATAATACATTACATGTTAACCAGAAATTCCGATCTCTTGCGTTTGTTTGAAAGTAGGAAAGAGCAGAAGGAGCCCAGATATTCTGATTTAAAAGCAAACGTTTATGAACTTTAAAACATTTTTGTAGGTATATAAAGGTAACATTAGTATGCACGACATATTTTTACTTTTTTTAGACCAGACGATCAGGATCCATACCAAAAGTTTTGGTTAGCGTAAATAATTTCCAAATGTTACGTTCTATTCTGCTGCACTAATCCCATAAGCAGCGCACGTTAAAAAGCCAACTACAAATGTCATACTCCTTGGTTGTTGACGTTCTGTTTGCATTCAAAGATGTGGCAATGCACAGCCAAAATTAGAAGTTTGTTTCTTGGGTTGATGTTGTTGCTATGCCGAAAACTTGCGAAGACGCCGATTTAATACTCTAGTTCTATTATATCATTCAGAACTCAGCCCTTAGGCGCGATATTTATCGATATTATCAGGAAGCTTTTATTCTTGTTAGGTTCAAAAAAGAAATAACAAATTACATGCCTACTGGCTTTGCAGTTTAGTCCTAATTGAACAGGGTTAAATTGTCAGTGGCAGATTTAACAGGGCTGGGTATCTTGGGTATGATCGGGTTCTAATTCAGAGTAAAAGTCTGCTAAAAAATGGAAAGATAATATCAAATTAAAGGTCTTTTATGGAGCCAACGGAATGCATCGCCGATGGCTAACTTTAGTGTATACACTTAAGCACCGAAGCTGTCTGTAGCAGTGATTTCCTATGAATTAATGAAAGGAAAACTTGACGCGCAGAGAACCAAATAGTGAAAGGAACTCCCATAGTAACTCACTAGAAGGTTTGCGCACACTACCTGATTACTGAATATTCTAGGCACCTAGCTAACAATATGAATGAAAGTGAAAATATGCAAACTCTTTACACGCAGTCAACAGGTATATTGGCTGTGAAAGTATGGTGAGGCATAGGAAAAGAATGTTAGAAAAATAATCCCAATAGTTTTAGTACAAATTAGGCTAAAGGGTGGAAGTTGGACCAGATGATTTCAATATATACAATCACTTACATTTTTGCACTGTAGTGAATGAACATAGGTATATCCAGTCACGGTTCCCTCAGTTCACCCTTTTCGGAATGGCTGGAAATTAAGTGTAACTGAATATGGTGAATATGAAGTGTGGGGACAAGTATGATTATCTTGACCTCAGTTTGCACTTGGTCTACAATTCACACTTATTGGTCTGTCTGTTAGCTATGCTTTCAAAAAAATAAAGAAGGAAAGGAGGTCGGGTAAGGATGTGTGAATTGGGCTCTCTGTCAACATTGTACCTTTTTTCATTCATCTCTTCAAGTGGGCCCGGTCAAGTAACCATAATCTACGTAGCACATTTTATGTATAATTGTAACAAATACACTTGCATCGCGGACCCCTCCCCAAATGGCACCTTTTGCTGAAAGGTAGTTACATCCTCATTTTTACGTAGTGTACGGGCAAGCACTTTAAATAGCTCTTTTAAACACTAGTTGTGATTCGCATGCTCTTGTTTCAGTAGGAAGACTCCTCCAGACCTCAATGTATCTGTTAAGGCAACATTTCCTTTTAACATTAGTCTTCGTTTGGAACGCCGAGATGTTCTTCTTGGTATTCCTACTCTACGCTACTGCAAGCCACTCAACCACCCCCTGATGATGTTACATCGATTGGTGACGAAACCTTTGCAAAAAATGCAAAGATCAGCGAACAATTTAACCGCCAATATCCTCTGTAATTACCCTTCTAGCCGAGACGAAAGGTGGTTGTTTCCTCTCATTTTATTCGCGCTTGTTACACGTGCTTTTCGTTTCTGTTTCTGTCAACTTTAATTTATCGCCGATAAATAGCTAAGATAATTAATTCAAATGCTAATTTTCTGAGGAGTTAGGTAGGCGTATTCGTAGGTTTAATTTGCTTTATTTTAATTGGTCTCGTCATTACAAGTGAATTTCTGTTAATTGACATTCCCTGGTGTGTCTGCGCTTGATATGCATGTTGATAAGGTGCCTGCCTGTCTATTACCCACCACCTCCGTTATACTGGCTTTAGGTGACGTTTGATCGTTACTGGAGTGAACAGGTTGCACAGTCCTCGTGACGGTGCCAGGTCAAAAGACTGGTTCTATGCAAATAGTTTGTGTATGCAGCGGGAAACGGCCTAACCACCGACTTGTGTGCGCTTGACTCCCCAACTACTGCTTGCTTGTGTTTGCCTGTGAAGCATCGTGGGTCGGCTCCGTTGATGAAACCTGACAAGCATCCGCATAACTATCGGCATTGTTGTTTCAAGTTTACACTGGAGATGGAGTGTGTGAATGGAGCTGTGGATAGTGCAGCGCAAGCCACTCATGATCCTTTTGTAGGCGAAGGCATCCTGTGGCTCTCCACTTGGAGGCCAGAGCTACAGGCAAATCCGTGATCGGATGCCGCTAGCCATGTGTAAGTGGGGCGGGAAAGCTTATGTTTCCTTGAAGCTTGTAGTGGCTAAATCCTGCCAGATGATCTAACCACTACTGCTACTGTTGTGCCCTTGTTCACGTCCTGGGCGACTCCTCGTGAGGACCGCTGGGTGGGAGTTAGTTTTCACCCTTATTCTAGCTAAGAGCCAAAACACACCAAAGCGCGTGAGTCAGCGAACTGACCAACTGCTTAATCCGCTGCCTTTCGGGGTACATATAATCGAATGCTTGGGCTGAGGACCCGAGTCGCTCTGCCGTCAGGTGTAGGCGCCCTTCCAGTTTCCTACGCCATCCTTTCCGGGGTTAGGAATTGGTCGAGGGTCTTCTTCTCGTAAAACCTGGGTATGGGTGACAACAGGTGCATATGTTCTATGCTCACCCTTCGATTGGCGTAGAGCACGAGTGCCACGTATTTTTTCTGACGGTGGGAGGACACCTCTGGTTGCTCAATGGTTTGCTACAACCCCCCTCAAGCCAGGTAGCCCCTGGTCAAATTGGTGCAAACCCATCAAAACCCTCCTGCGTCTGGCCGTGGTCGTAGGTGCGTATCCTACGAAGGCTACAAAACATATTAATTGTTCCAATTCTCCAAACGCTGCGGGTGACGGACCTCAACCGGATCGCAATATGTCTCTGCAACCATATTCCCGAGCCGAATCTCCTCCACACTGCTTTGTGGCTCAGGCTATCCAATCAAAGTCTCCTGGTGGAGTTCATCAAACGAACCACCAAAGCACAACAACCAACACGCGTGAGATTGTCCCCAATGCAACCGTATGGCTGCAAGCAAAGCACTCAAAATTGGGTGCTGAAACCGGAACAGAGTGAGGGTCCCGAGAGGTGTATTGAACAGATTGCAATGGAATCGGCGCACTTCAACAAATATACTGCGACGTTAAGTTGGACGTAGCTCACTGAACAAGATAAGTTGCATGAAGCTGGTGGCGGCTATATGTTCTGCTGGGTGAGCAAAGTCACCACAATATGACGTGAACATGGGGTCGGATTTGCATTATCCGTTAGCCTAAATGGCCAGCTGTTGGGTGGGTCCACTGGCATCAGCGCGCGATTGATGACTGTTCAGCAACGACCCGAAAGAGGTAAGTTTGTCGCCAATATAAGCAGGCACATTCCGACTATGTGTTATCCTGATGACACGCGTGATTAGTTCTACACTTGGTTATCCCCCGTGATACCTTCTGTGCAGAGGAGCGACCGATTATTTCTGATTGGTGATTTCAAAGCGCGAGCTAAGCGTGATGCATCCGTTACTGGTGAGTCAGACGGCATGCCTCAGTTTCATGTTTTTTCATTTTCTTTACATTGCGGCATAGTAGCTGAGGTGTTTTCCACCTGCATCTAATGTGTATAGTGAGGATTGATGATGGAATGGTAAAGCCGATGGGGTCTAAGTAGACAGTCTTAAACATTGCCAAAAGCTATAAACAGGTCCTTATAATACCCTACATAAGCACTAAGCATTCAAACTCCTTGAAATCGACCCACAGCAGTTAATAGCTAAAGTTAAGCCACTAGAGGCTAATAACACGCGACAGATACCCTCAGGAAGGCCAGTCTATTTTCCAGACCGCCTGATGTTTTATACATCTTTATGGTACCATCTTGTTGAGGTGCTTATTTGGCTGCATTGGTTGAGGTCAGTTTTCTTTCACTTATTGTTCACTAAATTCTAGCACCATGCCAGAGGACATCTTTAGCAAGACTTAGAGGAAGCACAGAACGTGTCGCCTAATAACAACATGACTACCATCGCTGCATTTACCTTCATTATTTTGCTCCCAAATTTTTCTTTGTACCTTAGATCCAAAAGTTTAGCCTGCCCTCCTTCCATGCCTTAGCCTCGAGCATTTCCAGTGACACGGTATCCGGTAGAGGTCAGTTTTTACTGGCCATTCCCAAAGGGGATTTTTCTCCTGTGTGCTTGAACATCGTGCAGTTAACGCATTGGTGGGTAGGTATTTAGGAAATATTTTTACATTTTCTT